TAAATTTTACGAGATGAGAAACTGACGATTGCCCATATTACTATGTGAATATTTGTTGTTTAATTGAAAGAAGCTATTCTTTATTGTATCTGCTATAAATAATGTTGTAATAAAAGTATCTTCCGAATCATAATAATTTATTAAGTATTTTTTAAATTCATATTCTAAAGTATGTAAATAACTAATTTTCTATTCGACTGAAAATGCCGGAAATTGAGTTATAAATCAAGCCGTCTCGACTCGATCATATTATAACAAGCCTGTTATTACTTATCTGAAAATTACCAATTCAATTTTGTTATCATCTCAAACACTACATAACGATCTAGGAGGCTAATAAGAGTTGCATTTATTAATAAGCAAAACACGCGATAATTTCTCTAATACGCACGTAACTCTATTGGTGCATCGAAAGGAAAGAAAAAGAATTTTACCACTACGTTTCTGCTAATACATTTGGATAAAATATTCACTGATCACTTGGACAGTTCCTTATTATGGTTTATCTATTTTTTTCCTTATTCTTCATAATTCTGAGTCGTTCGTGCCCCTAAATCACGAATAAAGCTCACATCTCATTTCCTCGAACGTCACGCAAGCGTGAATGAGATTGAGGGGTGGGAGGGCGGAATTTTAATTGAAGTGCGACAAGTCGTGCAGAAAAAAAGTGCGAAAGAACGCCAGTGCTTATCGCATCTGTTCCGCTCTTCTGGGAGCTCTATTCTTGGTGCATTCACGAATGAAAATTTCTGAAAACATTTGTATATCAGTTAATATCAATCTAATAATTTTTTAAGATCATTTGTGTATAACCTCAAAATTTCAATTTGTAAACAAATGTAAAACACAAACACCATTTTTTGTAATATATTTTTTACTGATAAACAAAAAAACAGTTATAGCATAAAACAGTAAAACAATGTATGAAAAATTGTTGGAAAATGAAAGAAAAACTTTCATTTATCATACTAAAAATAAACATTCTCATAATGAACGTCTTGTTCGTTTTGTTGAAATAAAACCGTGATACGATTGCAACTCTTTTTATTTATCAGTAAAAGATTTTATACAAAAAATTAATTTTCTATTTCACATTTGTATATACAAATTTGAATTTCACCGTTACGTGGACGATCTTGAAACGTTACTAAATTGATAGTAATCGACCTACAAACATTTGTCATTCGTTTTTCCGCTTGCTCGTTCAATTTTTAGAAATTTTTGTTCGTGAATGCGCCAAGAATAGAGCTCCGACTCTCACTTATTTCATATTCGCACTATACTCTTCTCTTTTCCAACTTCGTACATAATGCATTGGTTGTTGTACGAGAGCAGTTTCTCACTCTCTCTTTCTAGAGCTTCTCAGCCAATGTGTGAATCGACCTTTCACGCGATTGCTACCAAATATTAGATTTGGTTAAGGTAAAAGTAAAGAGCAATGACAACAAAGGATCTTCCATGATTAATTTTTTTTTTTTGTTTTTGGTAATGTAGTGATAGAATCTCTTACTCCTTCAGTTCAATCATTGATAAAATCGAAGCAGGCGAGATTCAGAAAATAGAATACCGTCAAACATAATTAATAAGTTACGTAAATTAATAATAAACGTGATCGATGGAGAAGAACATTCATGGAATAAATTTAAACACTTATACTACTGTTCAACATTTCTCTAATCTGATTGTCGACCTCTAGGAAAACTATTTATTTAAACAACATTAGATATTGTTACAATGAACAAATATAAATGGTAATAAAATATTCTTTAGACTTGCTTAGTTCACTTACAATAACTTAAACTAATTACATCACCGAATTCTCCATCAATCATGATTATTATTATTGAAGAGAGGAAGGTGAAAATTCTTATTTATTTACGTAAATTGTAAAAAAGTTACGTCTCTTGTACCCAAATTGTGACTTCGCCTCAATTTCTCATTAAGAAAGAATCTTGACAATTCAGATATATATAACTCTTCGTAAATTGTAAGTAATATGGTTAAAGTTTATAATAGTTCAATCATTATCCCGCAGAGCTGGTTATTCAGTAGAAACGATAAAAAAAATGGGAAAATACACAAATTTTGTACATAACGTACATATTATTCGCTGTGTTAAATAGCGTGATAGCACCTGTGTCAATTTGCAATTATTTTTATTTCTTTTTTCTTTCTCTGTCGTTTTTTTTCTCTGTTCCTACAGTTTCAACGCGCGAGTGCGTACACAACGAATCCTATAATTGGTTCATTTGGAGCAATCGAGCGCTTAACTGATTTTTCGCTCGTCGACTTTTCGCTCGGCTGGCTGTGATGCGCTTACTTTGGCGCACAGCGCGACAATCAATTGCACTTTATTGAACACGAAAGCCCGAGAATAAATAGACAATCAAACGATCATTGCGCCCTGTGATTGGCAGTTAATGCGTCAAAAATACCTCAGCTCTCTCTCTCTCTCTCTCTCTCTTTCTGCTTTGGGACAAGCTAATAAAACTTGCTGATTTGAAGTGGCATTTGTTTACCTTGTAGGCAAATCATTTTTCTTTTCAACAAGAACATCTTTTTTCATTAGAGTCGATGAATAAACTCAGATTGCGACGATCAAACATACATACTATTTTACTAACATTTACTTGATAGTGTATACAAGCTGCTGTGTTTCACATAATTGACTATCGAAATTTTCTGTAAAAAGTGTACGCACAAAAATATAAAACTTCTTTGCATTTAAGCATTATTTTCACAAGAAGTAAGGTTATTATATAGCTGTTTTCTCAAATTTATCTATGAAGTCATGGTGTTTGAATACTTTTTCATGCGTTAAAAAATAATTAGAGCCTTACTGAAAATATTTCCGATTATCTACTATAGTAGTATTGTTTTAGCGTTAGTATTTTTTCCGGAAACGAAATTTAAGCTACATAATTACTAACTTTTCAGCTTGTAAAATAATCATAATAACTGGATTCGAATTTCGTTCTTATGAAATGCGGAAGTGTTTCGTGCTTGGAGTAGTGTAATAGTATTTTCTAACAAAATTCAAAAAATTATATATGATGCTGTTATTACAGACGTCTTCGATATGATCACCTATGATAATATTTATACAAGTTTAAGATATAAAAGTTAACGGTTGATCCAAAATTATATGTACCTTTTTTGCTTCATATTTACGTTAACAGTTGATAGTGACGACACTACTGTCGGTAATGTTACTCCAGATAAAATATACGCAAACGAACATGTCAAAGCAAAGAACAAAAGTGCAGAAATGAAAAAAGCATCATCGCTAGCTTCTTAGGGGAATTCGTTTAACAGTAGAGTGGCCGCTGACCTACTTCGATTGCCCGCTGCAATTTGCACTTGACCGAGTACTTCGAAATATTGCAGATAACGCTGACTTGACATTCCCATCGCTATGCTGTTTTATTTCGGAATGACAGTTTTTTTTTTCTAGACTAGTGAACTAGACTTTCGCTAACAGAGACGCGGAAGTAGCAGAGCAAACATTTGCGTATTATCGTACGCAGCTTAATTGTATCTGCTATGATTTGTTCGACGTGTGACAAAGGCAGTTTGATTGGAAAGTGTTGCGCACACGTGTTTATGTAACTTGCAAACTAAATATCCTATCGCCTGACGTTGTAGGATTAGTTAAGGCATTAATTAAGACCTCAATCGAAAATTCGATTGCCGCAATCAATTTCGGAGCACACTTGATTGCGATTGAAGACAAATCCCTTTGATCGAACGGGTGCCTTGAACATTGCACAATAAATTATCTTGATTAAAGCTATAAGTGTTTTTTAAATTTCATATTATTATCCATCGTATATGCGACTTTTTAATACTTAATTATTAAATATCGATTGGCTAGACGTCGTTGATTTCAATAGAGTACATATGATTAGAAAAGAAATAAACTTATATTCTAAACTATGTAGAATTTATAAAACTCACTGAAAACAACATTTACTTCCTTCTGTAAGTAACCTATGAGTTACTCAAGTCGAGCGTGCTATGGATGTTGCATAATCCTTCAATTTGTGATTGTTATGTTGAGAGTAAATTCCAAGCTTGATATTTACTTTTCTGTGAATGCTCCTCAAATCATTGTACTTCATACTCACGTATGAAGTCTGTTTTGATTTTCAATTTCCTAGTTGAAAAGTATGTCGACAGACAAATGAGAGACAAAGTATGATATAGACAAACAACAAGAAAATTTAAAAAATATAAATTTAGTTCGAATCTGAGTTTGGATATAAAATCAAATGTTAAAGAAATCACTTACATGCAATTTGTTCCTCGTTTCCCTCTTTCGTTTCTTGCATACTTTTAATACCCTCTTAAAAGTTACACGTCGTAAAAAATTTGTCTCTCACTTCTTTTGCCTTCCTGTTAAATAGAGTCCATATCGCGACTGCCAATTTCCATATTGGATGCCGCCTGTCGGGAATTTTTCTTTATTCGGCTTTGCGGCTGATAACGTCGTATTGAATGAACGGTCTCCTCAAATGGAAACCGCATAAAAAATGTTCATGTTCTCAGAAATACGTGGACGTTTTTTTTTTTTATTTATATGCGAATTTTTGATACATTTTTCACGTATGATCACACAGACTACTATTTTTTACTTTGAAATTGGTTGAATGGCGACACTGCTAAATTTTAGATGGAATTAAATTCAAACAGCATCATCAATTAGCGATTTGACATTGACAGTTACGATGAGTCAAGCATGTTGGCCATAAAAATTTATAATGTATATGCAATCGTTCACATACATCGCTACCGCTTGCACTGTAAAAATTTAACTGTTTCGAGGAAAGAGAGAGTGAAAGAAGGCACATATCCGCCCGTCGACAGTAAGAGTGAAGATGGTTTGTTATGTGCGCGCGTACATACAAACCACTTGTATGCATGCAGAAAATGTGCAAGGAGGTAGTAAGCTGCTATAAAAGCCTAGGAACGTCGTTGGAAAGTTGCAGTTACTATTCGAACGCCGCTTAATGTTACACTTGACAAAATGATCTCGAAGGTATAGGATAGTGCTTCTTTTTACATTGTTCTTATCTTAACAAATAATTTTATCACGCGTAAAAATTATTGTTTTAGCATAAAACAAGTTATTAATGCGACTGTTGTTAGAAAATATTAGCTTTTGTGATGTGTCGTTTCAATGTTATTGTTATATGTACATTGCATATTTATGGTGAAAAAGCTTCGATTAATTTGGAATTAACATCTTTCTTTAATTTATCAGAAAGATGAGTTTTCTTGATCAAGTTACATTGAATTCATCAGCTATATTTTTCGAATTAACAAAACCCATTTATATCTTGATCGAAACTCAATCACTTTTATAATTACAGATTTTATATTTTTTTCGAGAGAAAGCTTTGTGCTAGTATGGGTTCGTTACAGTTATTTAAAGATCCTATTGCAAGAAGCACAAATGTTTTCTGCAATCCGATACTGAATTCAAACAAAAGTACAATCAATATAAAAAAGAAAACAAACGATATCGCAGAGCACAGCGAAAGAGTATCAATTAGCAAAGTAATGGACAATAATAACGAGCAAAATGAAATAGAAGAAGAGCTTCGGGTATTTCGTGATATTGGATTAGTGATTTGCGCTCCTGTAAACAAGCACTTTTTAATTAACGGCCCGTGCAAAGAGCAATACGCATGTTGCTCGAGCGCGAATTGTGTTCACAACGCTGGTACTCCGTGCTTTCGTACGCCATCGAACGGAAAATCGGGGCGCAAACAGGCCATCCTGAAATACGTTTCGCGCCATTCGAAACGGGTCATTTTGAGGCCGCGTAATCAAAAACTGCTCACGCCGTTAGCTTATTTCCGCGCGCGCGTATCGGTCTCCTCGCACTTTACGCCTCACTATTTTCAGCGCGCGCGCCTACTGGATATTTAATGGACTTTCATTTCAGTTGTTCGGCGAATTTAATTTTATTCACACCTCCCGTTCAATTCAAACCAAATCCCGCTTGAATTTACATTGATTCAAAATAAAACAGAAAATAATAACTATAACTGCTTTCTGAATTTTATTTCTGGTTAATTTATGTTTTATACTCCCATCAACGAACAAATTTATATTGTCATTTTAATATTACATGTATGTTTCATTCATAATTTTCGTATTTTTCAACCAATTACGTCAATTCATTTGAATTTCAATTAACAACAGATATTGGAACAGTAATATATTATTGAAAAAAAAGGATTTTTAATCAATAGTAATTAATTCGTTGAAAGCGGCGTTTAATTCAGGAAACATTCGCTAAAGTTGGCTTTCATATCATTTCACGTAATTTGTATTTAATTAATATGAATTAAATATAAATTTCAGTTGCTGAGGCATTCACCAATCTTTATCATTTTAATTGCAAACTATTGCCACGGTGGTCTCCTAGCGACACTAGGCGATCAGCATCATTATCAACATCAAGTAGCAAGTTCTTTCATGCACTTTCACGGCCCAATAGAAGGTCCAGAATATGAAATCAAGGTGCTCGAGCATCACCACGAGGACAATCACTTGCTTCACAATCACGAAAATCATTATACTCATGACTATATGGCACATCCCAAGTACCAGTTTTCTTATGGCGTCGAAGATCACCATACCGGTGACTTTCACAGCCAGAAGGAGACCCGCGACGGTAAGAGAGATCACATGTTTTACGATTCTTGCTAATTGCACGCGCGCGTCTGCGTACGCGTCACCGTGGTGAAAATGCCTAGCCAGTTTTCTTTCTCCTCCGAACGCTGTCAGTTTTAGTAGCGCTTAAGATAAACACTCTTTTGCATTATATACTTTTTCAACTTTCCCCCGAGGTATGAGCCTCTTTTTTTAACTATACCAGATAAAAAGAAACAAGTAGCCTCTCTTTTTTTTCCTGCGTCTGTCAGTCTTCAAAATTTCCACCCTCAACTTTAGCTAGCTCTAAGAAATTAATTTGAAAATTCCATAACATTGAACTATTGCGCTGCACAACTTGAATTGACCAAGAAGGCTTTGATCGCAAATGCGTCACACATTGTCAAAGATTTTTAATGAAAACGATATGTGTGTGTTTTTTTTAATTTAACCTTTGCGTGATTGTTACAATTACGCTTCAATTAAAGCGGGAAAAAGTTTTACTAGGCGGTGCCGTGATATATATAAAGCTTTCATTTCAACGTTTTTCGTGCATGCTTTTTTATTATGTCGGATGCGTATTATTTTTTTTTTCGTCTTTACAAATTTGTTACCCCGTGCGTTGTCAACCAATCGCGACAATTTATAAGAATAATTAAATCACTATTGTCTACGACCAGTGGTATATGCATCGTGATATTTCAATTGGGAAAACTTGAAAAATCCGTGAAATTAGTTTGTGACATCGTTATATCATAACGGTTTACGAATAGCAGTATATGTATCATGACATTTTAATTTATAAACCACGAGATTTCCGTTTTTTCGTTCTTGTACCAGGATAGTAGGTGTCTATTAAGGTTATTTTATGCTTAAAATAAATTTTTATTAAATTTTAACTTAGGATGAAAGCATTTATATTCGCATTAATATTTATTTTCTAAAGTTCCACGTCAATTTTTAAGCAATTTTGATAAATATTCTTGGATTTATTCAATATATTATATTTTTTTTATTCAACAGAAGAATTTTCAAAACAACTTGTGTACTTACCAAAATTATATAGACCAACCAAAGAATTATCAGAGCTGCTACTAGTACAAATGCAAAAGACTTATTTTTACTCATATTTACGAACACATACAAATACATTCTTAATGAAATTACGTATATTTTAAATATCTAGAACTGTTATCTGCATTGAAAGAAACAAATTAGTCGTGTAGTGAAAAAAAATCCTCAACAAAGTTGACAGAGCGTGACGGAATCATAGCGAGAGCTCGGCGTATATCGCGAAAAGCAATCTCGGAGGAGGAAACGCAACAAAACAAAGCGATCTAACAGCTTTGAAAAGTAAAAGTGCGTAATTATAAAAGTGTATAACGTTTTTGTTGCGGTCTATCGCAGGCCATAGCGTGTCAGGCGAGTATAGCATAGCAGAGCCAGGCGGTGGATTACGCGTGGTTAGTTATCACGCCGACAAGGACGGCTTTCACGCAGTCGTTCATACATCCGGTAAGAACGAGCACCACGGTTTCCCCCAAGGTCATCTCGCAATAGCAGCAACTGCTACGGAACAGCAACAACTTCTTCAGGAATATCCGGCCGCTTCGTACGACAACGCTCAACACGAGGAAACAACTTATTGACACTACATGGAGTTCACTGCTTTTCACTTCCCAACTATCTCATGAAGAGCTCGAGACGCTTACAAACCAATGTTCCACTTGTGAATGTCATAAACTCTCTTCTTTTTACTTTAAAAGAAGAGAGTATATATAGCTTCAGTTTGTAAATAATACTAGTACGTATGTAATCTCGAAATAAATGTTTTTCTTTGCAATTTTCAAATGTTTTGATAAATTTTGGTAATTTGTGAGATGATGAGAAGAGAAAATTTGAAAGAACTTCTCATTGCTATGTAAGAGTGAAATAATTTTTCAAATAATAATTCCGCCTTAATATTATGAAACCAACTTGAACTAATCTATAGACGAATCCATAGCAAAACGCGTTGTAACATATGCAAGAGTCTGACAAAGTAATTCAATTTTGAATGTATTATTCAAACTATTGCAGTGTTCCAAGCTATCAACACAGAAATGAAATGCTTTAAACAAGAAAAATTCTGTTTTTAAAGTCTAGATATTTTGAAAAAATCAGTAATATTTCGGTAAGCTTGTAGCTTGCAGTGTTTACAATTATGTGATACTTGAGCACTCGCAAGAAATAAAGAAACCAGTAAAAGAAAAGACCTATTGTCAAGCGCTATATATATCATAAGCTATAGATGCAGCGCGTTGCACTTATGATGATGTAAGCAATTAGCGTCGATAATACACCGTAAGGTTGTTGTATACGCGTCCATCTCCGCATGCCACGCACAGTTCGGCACTAAGTGGGTCGAACGTCACGAATCTAAGGAACCATTTGTGCGCAATACCTGGCCCTGACGCGGGAGACGATGGTTATGATTGCTGTATCGAGTTGTGCTATCGACAACTAAATTCTCAATTTCCGCTGGAAATATCACGTTAAGGTTATTATTTTACCATCGATATTCCAGTTGATGAGGAATGATTTGTTGCGGTCGCCCATTAATTGATCGAGTAAATACTTTGAATGAATATTACCGTCTTGATATAATTACTTCTCTTTAGATTGTCGTATTCTTCATAATTTGAATTACGCTCGTTTTACTATTAGGAGTGAAATTTTTTTTTTAAATCTATATAAACAAAAGATTTCAAAATTTTCTTCGCCTTACAGTCGTTTGAATTATATGTATCTATACATTTAAACATTACTGTTCTGATCGTTGAATTATGTTCGTATTGTAATAGTCTAAAGTTACTAACGATGCGTTACTTCGTACAGGTTACCACGCAGATGTTAAAGAGACTTTGTAATTGATACTTGTAGTATTTGCAGCTCCTTATTTGCAGCGCCTGTAATCAGACAGACGGGATCGCGTTATCATTGATATATAGAGTGGATAATACATACGATCAAGTTTACAGTTATCTGTACTATATCTAACAATAATATGTAATGGATTTAGGATGAGATTTGAAACACTGGTTGCAGATGAAGTACATGTTAATTTATTATTTATTTTTCAAATTTATTTTTATTTATATATTTTATTAGGGTTTCAGAAGGTTTACTCTTTTAAGCACTAATCTTATATTATACCACTATAAATCTTCGATGCCAATTATAACTTACCTTTTTATCCTGTTTTTTCATATTTTATAAAATGGATTATTTTGAAAAAGATTAATAATCAACATTGATATTTACTATTGTAATATATTTCTTTAAATCGTAAAAATTATCGATAGTACTGAAAAAAATAAGAAAATACATCTGACTGAATTATGTTTAATATCTATTAAACCTATTTATTTTTTTCAACGCATCTTTGAAATATTTTAGTAAGCTGACATCTGACTTGTTAAGTAGAATCTATCCTAACAAGTAATGACCGTCATTCCATGATTATAAAATATAATGTAAAAAATTTTTGAGAGCTTCCGTTTCTCTTATGAATTAGTTTCTTATAAATCGAAAAATTAGTAAATAAACTAAAATCTAAATTAAACATAGTATCAAATATTTATAAAGTAATTGAGAGGCAAGAGAATCTCTGTAATGGAATTAAGCATTGTTTAATGATCTAATTGTTTAACGATAGATTATTATCATAGTATCCATTTTCAAAATCCCTAAAATACGAATTTAATTTGTTCATCATTTAAGCTTTTTTCCAACTAAATAACATAAACAAAAAGAAATCATTCTATTCATCAAGTGTCGAGGTCTAGCTGCAGGCTACTAATTACCAGCGTCCAAAGTCCGCGATTATTTTCCACTAAAGTGAATTGGTTGCAAAGCCTCCAAGGCAATGAACGACAATTGAATTATATCGGGTTTTACGGCTGGCTGCCGAAAATAATGAGGACGCTCCATCTTCCTTTTCTTCGTCCGCGAATTTTTCATGTGCGCGAGCTCTCAAGCATTTGAGCCTTTAATTTTCTGCTACGAAGCTTTTATTTAATCAACTCACAGAGTCTACACATAGCATTTAGAGCTCAAAATGGGGATCAACAATAATGAAAAAATATAAGATTTTATTCTTTCTATAAAATACCAGCAATGTCAACTCCAAATTTGATGAATATTTAAGAAACGTACGTCGATATCCGAACTGAATCATTTTATCTGTATAAATAAAGTATGTGATAAAATTCAACTGTTTTTAGATTCATTAATAATAATTAATACTATACATTTACTAATTATATAGTAATATTCTGCAATGTTGCAAACAATGGTGACAATCTAATTTTAATTATTTTAATAATAAACCTCTTGTTGTAAAAATCAATCAATCTATAAAAACTGCATGAAATATCTCATGATAAATCACCGATGTACGTGCAAAATCAGATCTTCCATTCATCGGCTGGCAGTAAATTCTCAATCGAGCCAACGAGAAGCCAAGAGAGTTTCTCTCGCGTCAATCTGCCCATCTTATTCTACAGCTTGAATCGGCGGACTGACTTCAGATGAATCGCCGCGAAGGATCTCGTGTAGGGAGTCGAGATCTGTATCATCAATCCTTTTAAAATTTATTGAACTCCTTATTTTTCTTACTCTGTATCTGTTTTCGATACTATTTTGTTCCTCGAACACTTATGTTCTTCGTATACTTTTATTTTAGATCTCTTTATCAAACTATGATTTTTAGTCATAAAATAATAACTGTTATCAATTTTACTTTCCGCTAATTATTTAAGTTATATCCAATAATATTGATTAGGTCATGATTTGTATTGTTGTTAATTAGTGAATTTAGTATTCTGTTAAAGTACAAAAATTAACAACTAATGTTATGGCTGCCAAGAAGGACTTTAATTCTAAGATCTTTCATAAAGAATTACATTTTGTTGTTAAATATTCGTGTAAAATTGAATAAAAAATAATCAAAACTAAATATAGACACCGGGTCTCAAAACTAAGAAAGTTCAAACGCTAGGCAAACTCAATTATCGTTGCAAATAAGAAAAACTTTGCCCTATACCCATTTTAAAGTTCCGATCGTAGTACAAGAACTTCAGGTTTTGTCATCAAACTCTCATAATCATTAAAAGATTTTTTCACGATCAGTCAAGTAAATTTGAAAGCCAGTACCGAGCTAAAATCTCGAAAATTCCATTTGCAAATTTTACTGCATTAACATCCGATTTCAAAGAACACTCTAACGTTAGATTTCTCTAGCATTTTCAGACTTCGCATGGTCTTTACTGTTTTTACTTGGACGAAAGAAATATCTTGACAGCAGATGAGACGGAATTACGATCGATCGAGCGACGTGAAAACTCGCGCAGGGAAAATCGATGTACCAAGGGTTATCGCTACTCGTGCGGGCACAAGTATAATGGTCCTGCGGGTTAATAGTCGTTAAAACAATGTAGCTGGTACGATTTTCCGCTTTTTTTATTAGTGACTAACGTTAATTCATCGGTTACTACTTTCATTCGATGCTGGAAATAGTATTATTATATGAATTATATACGAGCCAATTCTTAAATTTGATCTCGATCTTGTCTTTTACTTTTTTATTGGGAGAAAAAACAAAATAGCTTTTTGCGTTTTATTATATATTTACTATCACGGCGAACTCATTTCAAGCGTTATTTCGATTATTTCTATTGTTAAGTTAATGAATAAAAATCTGAATAGTTTAATTATGAAATTTTTTGACAATCAGTCAAATAAATTTAAACGAAGCATTGAAATTTAAAGCTTCGAAATCCTATTTGCAAAGCAACGAGAAAATTTTACTGAATTAACGTACGATTTCAAAGAAACAATGATTTTACATAACACTTCTATAAACCGCCAAGTAGATATTATATCATGAAATAATTAAAAATTTGTTTTCCTTTTCTAGTTCTATTTTAGAGATTTCTTGATTAAATCATGATTTTACAGCACAAAACATTAACATTTGTCAATTCTATTATCTGCTAATCATTTGCATTAAGCATAATAATATTACCTCGATCACGATTAATATTTTAGTCTTGAAACACATTTCATTAAAAACTGGTGCTACAAACGACCTACTGAATTACCGTTCCTAAAATAACGATCCAGTAAACTATCTTTTACAAATAAAGCTCAAAAAAATAGTTTATAAAGATTCTTCAATATATATGTATAAAACTAGTTTAATTTATAAATTAGAAAGTTTTAAAAGAAAAACTACATCTTGTGGTAAAAATATCGAGATTGGCTAAATCCATTTAAATAGCTTTCTAATTACATGATTCTCAACGAAAGTGCAAAGTTTTTATTGCATTCACTAATTCGTTGGGCTAATACCGGTTCTTCCGCGGTGACTAAGAGGCGAAGTAGATCAGGGTTCAGATTCATTTAAACCATTGAATCCGAGAAGTAAAGAAAGAAGACGAAGAAGAAGAAACAGGTCGAAGACAAAAGCTGCGAGGAGATATATACTCGCGATCTTTAAATAGAGCAAGAAAAATCAATTAACGACAGAACTTATTATCTTGTCAGGGTGTAACCTAATATATAACACCAGAAAGAAGCTATCAAGTGCGTCGAAAACAATGCTAACTTTTGATTTTGCAAACTAAGCAGCTTCATAGATTTCTTAAAGAATTCAAGCCATTACTGCCATTGTTTCGTAGATTTTTTTTTCTGGTATAAGATATTACTTTATTATAGTTGTTTTGTAGTTGTTTTTATTATTTTATACATTTATATTGATAATAATTTAATATACCTTAAACCAAATCTCAGCTATTAACCAAATAACTTTACATTGTAGTTTCTTATTTTATTCCGTCACATGTATCGAAAAAAATTACATTTTTACAGTACTTTTATTTTTTGAAAAATAAATCTCTCAAATATA